TTCCATTCTCCTCCTGCTTTGTCTTGCTCGTTTCTGTCCATCCTGCTGTTGTGCTTCTTCTGTGGCCCTTTGCGTCCTCGTGCAGGTGTCTGTCTCGTCTGTCTGATACTGTGTCTGTCTTGTCCAGTTCTCCCTGCAGTTTCTTCCATGTGTCTGTTTGTAGATGAAGGGGCTGAGGATCAAGTGGGTCCTCTACACAGGTTCCCCAGCCACGAACCTGCCACCTGCGGGGAGAGGCGTAGACTCCTCGCCCCCTCCATTTCGGTGTGTGTGCCTGATGATGACCCTTACAATTCCGATGACGAGTACTATGAGCATCCTTTGTTCCGCTCAGAATGGACTGCCTCTGGTGTGCTCTCCAGTGTCACCACGCAGAGTGCAGAGGCCCATTTAAACCCGGAGAAAGGTGAACCGAGCATGGTCCCCTTTTGCTCCTCCCCCCCAGCCTGCAGCTTTGTCCACGTGCATCATGCTACGTGTGTCTTCATACAGGGGTGGGAGGGGAACGGAGCCTGTTTTTTGCACATGAGAGTGAAGTCCCTACATAGATTATGTCCATCAAATGCCTCAACAGTTCATTGGACAGAAGCCTTCCAGGCAGCATTGGAGAACTTCTTGATTTTCCATCAATATTTCTGTGAAGACAGACAAAAATAAAGTAAAATAAGGTCAGAGAAGAGCAGACATTTAACTAAAGCAATGAAAATGATTCTTGGTAGTATTGTCTTCCTTCAATATTTACCAAAGCCAGACTTCAATACAAGTGTTCTTTTAAGTGGCATGTTAATATTATTTACCTCAGCTCTTTAAAAGAGAAAGACTGAAGAGTCTGCTTAGGGCCGAATAGATATAATGGAACAGATTAATTTTTCCAAATTACTTAATCGTCTGTGGAGACTACAAAGGCCACCCAGGTGACTGTATCTTGGTTCAAACTGGGCTTCAGGGAAGGATGTGATTCATAGCTTTCATCATCCTAGCCTCATAAAGCCAGGAAACCCTCGTGTATAATTGGCTCCAGTAAGGATAAAATAAGTGGGCCATAATTGCAATTTGTCTTATTATAACTAGATAGTCCTATAAGAAAAGGAGTAGAAAAAAAATTGCTTGGGTAAAAGGTTTCTTTATGAGTTAGTAACTAGAGTGAGAGCAAATCATTTGAGCACAATTGGGAATCGGCTTAGGTCTTACAAACTGTATTCCCAATAAACTGTATGAAGATTCTGTTTGGAAACAATGAACCAAGACTCTCAGGAAGAAAAATATAACACATATTTATAGGTAAGTTAAGCTCTTGTAGCAGTATGACCTTAAAACAACTAAAGGAAAGTGTGGCCCCTTTCTGGTGGTTCAAATCCATCAATGGTTCTGAGGGAGAAAGATGGGCAATTGCCTGGCATATCATTTACGGCCCTTGAGAGCCCTATAGAAGGCCAGCTACCAGCTAGTATCAACTAAGCCTCTGGAGGACCACCTAGGAGCCAGATCCAACTAGAGGGCAATGAAGTCATGTTTTGATGAGACAGGTATCCTGGGATAAGCATAATTTGTACAAAATGAACAAACTGAAAGCTAGAATGTTGCATGGATTTACAAAACATGCAAATTACCCTTCATCCAACAAGCTGTGATCAGTAAAGCAGCTATATTAAAAGCCTTTTAGTATAAAAGCATTATAAAAATTGCTTTATAACAACATATTCGAATCTGATTTTTCCAAAATGTCATTACATAATTTAATTAATAAAATAAAGATGGCTGAGTGCTAAATGTGAAGCGATAGATAAAGTAATTCTGGTTTTCACCCCTGAGGGACTTACTATTTCCCGCAAAAGAAGATCCCTTTACGCCTGCAGTCTGTCCCACAGGACCATTTAAACAATGCACAGTGGTTGGTAAGGCACTTGAACTTGGATAACCATCCGATAGCTTAAGTTTTTTTTCTTTCTAACTTCTTCAGGGATAAAATGTGATTTTTTTTTTTTTACCAGCATGTGAAGTTTAAATGAAAAATAAATGAACAAGATAATTCATGAACTTCATAAATTTGCTTTTCTGATGTTTTAAATGCTAATGTCTTTTTCTGTATGTGTGATTTGCATCTTTCAGAAGAAATGTTGGCAGTTGGGTTGCCACCACACTATGTTTCCTTAGTGATTTAATTTTGCATGGCAGAAATAAGACGTTAGCGTTAATGTATACATTTTCTAGACTCAACTTTAAAGATGACTATGTATTAAATACTTTACTGATATTTCAGAGGTTAAAACAATAAGAGCTGTGTCTCACAGGTGGATCTTTGAAACTTATCTTATTAGCATTTTCCCATAATGTTTTTCAAGTATTTCACTTCCTCCTGAAAAGTTTTCATCTTCCCCAACATCATATAGTGCAATGAAGTAAAACATGTTGAGCTCTATAATCTTTCACTCAAGACATACTAAATAATGTTTTAAATAGGAGGAATTTTGTGATAAAGCTGGTGAGGCAATTGATTGGATACTATTTTGAGGCAAGATCTTATTTTTTTTTCTATTTTTTTTTTTAGTCCCAAAGATTTCTTTAGCAAAGATTGCGTGTTTTAAATACAGTAATCAGGCATTCTTATGTAGGGGCTTCCTGCGTTGGAAAAAACAGCACATATCTAACAAATTGAAAGGGGTTTTTTTCAGTACATCGATGCATCTGTCTTGTCACAACCATCTGTTAGCCAGCAACGCCATCTCTTATTTCCAGTAAGCTTTATTCCCACATGTGTTCACCTTACTGCCATTTCCACTAAGGGAAATAGAGCAATAAAACCCTTTCAGCTCTCAATTGTTAAAATAAACAGCCTTTTAATGGGATTGTAAAAGGCGCCATTATTAACAGTTTATACATAAGCATTTTCCAACCAATAAATAATGTACATATCATAAGAATATTAATTTACTCATCAAAATGTTTAAAGAACAAAGCACCTGAGGTTCTCGCGAAGTCATAATAATGGAGCTGAAAGTGTTCCTTGGATAATAGTTCTTTCGTTTTGTGTATTGTTCTGTGGTCATGATGTCAACATCTTTTTCATCCCCAAGAAGAAGAAACGCTAGAGGGGTCGATGGCTGAGGAAGAGAAACCTACTGCTCTTCTTGAGGAAGAGTGTGGGCCTGCTAAGGCCTCAGAGCCGCCCAGGGGCCTCAGTGAGGGCCAAGTGGAGTCTAGTGAGGAGGCCAAAGTAGTTCCCGAAGAGAGTGCCCCATCAGGGACCCTGCATGGCCAAAGTGTAAAGGTCACAGAGGTGTCTGCGGAAGTAAAAGCCCCTTCCTCTGCCAAGGAAGGTGTGTTTTTCTTAGGACTTGCATGTGGTTTGTTGCAAATGATCTCTCCAGCAGCTTACCCACCTGACGGCTTAGTCAGCACTGTGTCATCACTCTGTCTTCTCATGGTCCCAAGGCCTCTGGCCTAGGCTTCCTGAGCTGTGCGTGTGGCTTGTGCAGGTGCTGTGCGACAGCTTGATTTCCCACTGCTGCAGCTGATTTCTGATTTTACTTTGCCTTGATACAAAATGCTTTGCAGCCAGGCTGATGATGCTGTGTGACCTCCTCCTCCTCCTCCTTTTTTTTTTTTTAATTCCTTCCCTCTTCATCTCAAATGTTTGCCAGTCACATTGCTAATACATGTATATTTTTATTTTTATTTTCTGAACAGCAATTCATATGCTTTTCTTTCCAACTGTAAAGGTGTTGACTTGGACTTTGGCAGATAGCGGCTGAAATGGTCAAATCGTTTTTGTTTGCAACCACAATGTGCTTTTTAAAATTATTATTATTTTAAATGCTTCAATGAATAGTGGTTTGGTTTCTTTGTGAGCTCGTGCTGATGCTTCACATGCCATTTCCTCTTCATGGCAGCCAGCCCCTTTCAGTCATCCCATCTCGCTCTAGTTTTCATTCATCTAACTTTTCTTAGAAGTTTGTGAAGTATTTCTCTCCTACTGATACAACAGGACACACAAGTCTATAAGGCAGTGACGCTCCGTGCACTTGGTCTTCAAGAGATGGCTGAATTTTATTATTTTTCCCTGAATCAATTTGAAAGTATTACCTGGAGCCCTATTGCCCTCAATGAAATATTCCTGACTTTAAAACACAAGTGGGACTCTGAAGCCTTTCAGACTGTGGATTGGAAAATAAATAAAAATACATCACTCAATTTATGGGAAGCATCTCTCTGGGCAGAGCTCCTCCACTTGGTTGAGCTTCAGAGATGGAGGTCATGACCATGGGGAGAAAAGTACATTATAATTGATTCTTTAAAAATATTGCTACTCTACTCAGACAACTTTCCATTAATAGCAGTTTCATTTCTATTTCCTTAAATCTACGTTCTTATGAAAATTTAATTCAGTGTAATTATTTCTTATATATAAAACCTATTCATACCCTCCCCAGAAAACTAATGGTCATGGCATTTGTTGACCAAGTAATCGTGAAACTATTGACACTTGTGTCATTCTCAATTAATTAGTCTCTGTCCATAGCCTGCCAATTCACTTTTATATGAAAAAGCAAATAAAAAAGTTAGTAGGGAAAAAAGTTTTAAGGATATTTAACACTTGAAATGCATTGTTTTGTACTCTACTCGTAGGTATTTTTTCCAATATTCCTTTTCATTTTTATCTCTGGAAGGCACATGAACTTTTTTTTATTACTAAATGACATCTCACATAATGTTAGGAGAGACCAAAAGTAAGCAAGCATAGCAGAAGGGCATAACAATTTTACACTCTGATTACAATTCATTACCATACACATTCTTTCCCAGTGGGAGTTCATTTCAACAGTAGATCACTTATACCTCCGTCCTCATTGTCATAGTGATTTTCAAATAGGTGGAATGCTTGCATGTTCCATAGTTTTCCTTTTTGCCACTAACATTTATCATTTCAAAATATGAGTGTAAACTTACTGCCTGAAAGCAATTGCCTATTGTTTGTTTAAAAATCCACCCAATTACCTCAGGTTTACTTGCAGCCTCGAAGATGGAGTTCCCTGACCTACAAGAATTGAGTCCTCCTACAGCTGAGCCATTAGACAAGAAAACAACAGAGTCCGAGAAGCCAAGTAAGCCTGGTGAAGACCTCAGACCTCCTGCCTTAGAGACAACGAAAACATCCCCTGACGAAAAGGACACACAAGGCAAAAAGGAAGAAAAAGCACCTCCCAGTCTATTCGCGCACCCTTTTGGTACCGATGCCGAAGACTCTAAACAGAAGGCGGAACCGAGCCTAATAGTGCCTGGCATTGGCTTCCCTGCAGAGCCTCCAACTCAGAAAGAACAGAAGGACTGGTTCATTGATATGCCAACGGAAGCCAAAAACGATGAGTGGGGTTTAGTCGCACCAACATCTCCTGTTCCCCTAACGCCTATGAAGGAGAAGGATGTACTTGAAGATATCCCCAAATGGGAAGGAAAACAGTTTGATTCTCCCATGCCAAGTCCCTTTCAAGGTGGCAACTTCACTCTTCCTTTTGATGCCATGAAGAATCAAACAGCTGCTGGAACATCACCCTTTGCCCCTGTCCTGTTACAGTCAGATCACACAGAATCACTAGAAGAAACCAGTGGCCCAGCGGCCGCCAAAGATACTTCTAAAGATGAAGAGTCCCTTACAGATAAAGCTGACAAGATGGCAGAAACACCAGCCTCAGTGGCAATTACCTCCCCCAAAGACACTCCTATTCCTACTACAGAAGAATATATCAGAGAGAAAGTGTCAGTGGAAGGAGCCATCACAGAAAAGAGTATGCAGAAAAAAGAGCCTGCTATCCTCAGTGGACAGGAACCCATACCTACTGAAAAGGAAATTCAGCTAACACTCGAAGAAAAAACTATCCTCCCTGACAAAGAAGTCATGCCAAAAGAGAGCAAACCCCTCATTCTGACAGATGATGAAACAGGCATAATTCAACCCACCGTAGAGCATACTTTCCCTAAAGAAGAACAAAAAGGTCAAGAGCTGACCACAGATGTGTTCAAACAGGACTCATTCTCTCAAAGCTTAGAGCAAGCACTTAAAGATTCCACTATGATCTCTAAAGTCACAGAGAAAGTGATGGCTGAACCCTGTACACTAAGCGAAAAGGGTTCCATCCAGGAACTTTTTGATGAAAAAGAGTCTGACAAAGATGGTAAGATTGAAATGGTTGGCGGGACAACATCGTCTGAGCTCTTCATGCCCTTTTACGAAGATAAGTCAGGGATGTCCAAGTACTTTGAAACCTCTGCCTTGAAAGAAGATGTGACAAAAAGCATTCAGCCAGGCAGTGACTACTATGAACTGAGTGATACGAGGGGAAGTGCCCAGGAGCCCTTGGATACCATAACTCCCATGTCTGAAAATGGTGAGCAAGGAATTCAGGCAGGAGAAGAACCCCAGCCTCGTGCTGCAGCACAAGAAACAGGGTACAGCACACTTGCACAGAGCTACCCACCTGATTTACCTGAAGAACCAAGTTCTCCTCAAGAAAGAATGTTCACTATTGATCCAAAAGTGTATGGAGAGAAAAGGGATCTCCACAGTAAGAACAAAGATGATTTAACCCTGAGCAGAAGTTTAGGACTTGGTGGGAGGTCTGCAATAGAACAAAGAAGCATGTCCATCAATTTGCCTATGTCTTGTCTTGACTCCATAGCCTTAGGATTTAATTTTGGCCGAGGACACGATCTTTCTCCTCTGGCTTCTGACATTCTTACCAACACTAGTGGAAGTATGGATGAAGGGGATGATTACTTTCCTGCCACAACGCCTGCACTGGAGAAAGCCCCTTGCTTCCCAATAGAAAGCAAAGAAGAAGAAGAAGAAGAACAGGTAAAGGAAGAAAAAGCTCCAGGGGAGGAAACTGTTCAAGCAGAGGCAGCATGTGAGTCACCATTCCTAGCCAAAGATTTTTATAAAAACGGCACTGTGATGGCCCCTGACCTGCCGGAAATGCTCGATCTGGCTGGCACAAGGTCCAGATTAGCTTCCGTCAGCACAGATGCTGAGGTTGCCAGGAGGAAATCAGTCCCCTCAGAGACTGTGATTGAGGAGAGTAGTACTGGTTTGCCCCCCGTGCCTGGCGAAAACCATGTCGTTGTGAAAACAGACAGTCAGCTGGAAGACCTGGGCTACTGCGTGTTCAATAAATATACAGTCCCACTCCCGTCACCTGTCCAAGACAGTGAGAATGTAGCAGGGGAGAGTGGGACCTTTTATGAAGGGCCTGATGATAAAGTACGAAGAGATTTGGCCACAGACCTCTCCTTGATTGAAGTCAAACTGGCCGCTGCAGGCAGAGCCAAAGATGAGTTCAGCGCTGACAAAGATGCATCCCCACAGGTGTCTGGACTGGGTAGGGAATTAGATCAGGAAAGGAAAGAGAAAGACAAGTTGGATACTGTGCTAGAAAAGAGTGAAGAACATGTCGCTTCAAAAGAGCATGTTATGACAGCAGAAGAGGCTGGCGACAAAGTTGAACAACTTGGAATAGGAGTCACTGGTGAGCAAGCATTGGCCAAAGAACTGGTGGTATCCAGTGATACATCCCCTCCCCAGGCTGAGGAAGCCAAGAATGTTCTGAGCTCAGTACCAGAGGTAGCTGAACTCGAACCGCCTAAAAGAGCTGAACCCGGGCTGGAGATTGCTGCAGAGAAGCCTGGTCAGGCTCCAGTAGATATTAAAATTAGTGACTTTGGCCAGATGGCAGCAGGGCTAACTGTAGGTGCTGGGGTGACAAAAGAATTTAAACTTGAGGAGACACAGCAGCAGGATCTGACCCCCTCAACCAAAGTGCCTCAGGAGGCAGATGCATTTCTGGGCATTGAGTCTGGTCACATGAAAGAAGGTACCAAAGTGAGCGAAATAGAAGTCAAAGAGAAGGTGGCCAAGCCTGACCTGGTCCACCAGGAGGCCGTGGACAAAGAGGAGTCCTATGAGTCTAGTGGTGAGCATGAAAGTCTCACCATGGAATCCTTGAAACCGGAGGAGGGCAAGAAGGAAACATCCCCAGAGTCATCTCTGATTCAGGATGAGATAGCCATTAAGTTGTCCGTGGAAATACCTTGTGCATCTGATGTTTCAGAGGCTGATTTAGCCACTGACGAAAGAGCTGATGTCCAGGTGGAATCCATTCAGATTCCAAAAGGAGAAAGCAAAGAGACCCCTGATATCGCCATCACGCCCTCAGATGTTACAGAGTCAGTGCCTGAAGGGATCGTAGCTGAACCAGCCGAGGCTCAGGGTGAGGAAGAGGAGATTGAAGCCCGAGGAGAAGCAGATAAGCTGCTCTTCCGCTCAGACACCCTTCAGATCACCGACCTGGGGGTCCCAAGTGTCAGGGAGGAATTCGTGGAGACCTGCCCTGGTGAACACAAGGGAGTGATTGAGTCAGTCGTGACCATTGAGGACGATTTCATTACTGTGGTGCAAACCACAACTGATGAGGGGGAGTCCGGTTCCCACAGTGTTCGCTTTGCAGCCCTCGAGCAGCCTGAGGAGGAAAGGAGACCCTCTCCTCGTGATGAAGAAGAGCTTGGAGTGGAGGAGGCCGCCGAAGCCCAGGCAGAACCCAGAGATGGCTCCCCAGAGGCTCCGGCTTCACCTGAGAGAGGAGAGGTTGCATTCTCAGAATATAAGACAGAAACCTACGACGATTACAAGGACGAGACCACCATCGACGACTCCATCATGGATGCGGACAGCCTCTGGGTGGACACTCAAGGTGTGCATTATTTTTTTCAATTTCCTCCTCCCATCTAAAGCCCAGTAACCAAATGGGAAATATTCATAATCACCACTTCCCCCTTAATGTAGCATTTTAAATGTCCCTGTACTTTGCATTTTGTTAACTATATGAACGATTTCGTACATTTGTTACTAATGCTCTCTGTTGTTGTTGTTCTTGTCATGATTTGCTTTGATCCGCAGATGATGATAGGAGCATCATGACAGAGCAGTTAGACACTATCCCTAAAGAGGAGAAAGCTGAAAAGGACGCTCGGAGACCATCTCTTGAGAAACATAGAAAAGAAAAGCCTTTTAAAACCGGGAGAGGCAGAATTTCCACTCCTGAAAGAAAAATAGCTAAAAAGGAGCCTAGCACAGTCTCCAGAGATGAAGTGAGAAGGAAAAAAGGTTCATTTCACAATCACTTTCTTTTTTTATTAAAACAAATTAAAGTTAATTCATTGTCGTTCTTTTATAGAAGAGACTGCCTAATGGTGGTAACTAATTATTGATTCAATTTCTTTGGATTTCGCTCCAAGTATTGATTTTTTTTCCTGATGGTATGCTCTTTTGTGTGTTTGTTTGTTTTTTTCATTCGTAGCAGTTTATAAGAAGGCTGAACTTGCTAAAAAAACAGAAGTTCAGGCCCACTCTCCTTCCAGGAAATTCATTTTAAAACCTGCTATCAAATATACTAGATCATCTCATCTCTCCTGCGTTAAGAGGAAAACGACAGGTAGCTGTTCGATTCTACAATGTGGCTGGCAAACATAGACTTTCTTTTTTTTTTAATGTCATTACTGTAGCAGCTTCTTCATTTTGTTTTTCTTCCAAGAATCTCAGCAGTCATGAACGATTTCGCTATTAAGTGTCTTGTATCATTATTCTTTTTTTTTTCTCCCTCCCTCTGCAGAAAAGGCCATGCTCATGTATTTCTTTGTCTTACTCAGACTTAACCAGTGCGTGATTAGATCTTGGCATCGTGCTCTAGTGTGCCATTAGGAGGAGTCCTATGTTCATTCTGTGTGTCTGGTTAGACAATGGGGATGAGTTTAACTGTGGTATGCATTCTCATTATTTTGCTTTTGTTACCTCTCTCATGCTTAACTCCTTTTCCTCTTTTCTGCATTGTTTACTGCCAAATCTGTTACTGATGTTGATGAATTTCTTGAAAATCACCAAGACTGCACAGTGGTTTGAAGATGAAAAAGGGGAAGCAAAATGCGGTTAGAATTGTGCCTTGTAGAGTTATGCTTCTTGAAATGAAAATAAACAGAAGAAAAATGAAATTGTCTGTTAATCTCATTAGATTCTGTTCCTCAGATGCAAAATTTTCAAGATTTTCCTTCTTCTGACCTACAAATTTTTGCATACCACTTGTCATAGAGATGTGCCCAAATGTGCAGATCAAAGCTGTCAGTTTCTCCTACTAATTTACTATCAAGTATTAAGATACAAGTTTTCCCTCCTGACTATATTAGATGCCAGGTTTGTTCCTCTTTAGCTACCTTTTCCTTTTGTGTCTTCTTCAGATATACTTTTTTTTTTTTTGCTAAGTAAACCAGTGATAGAACAGAGGAATGAAACATGCTACAAATTGTAATAAAATCTCATCTACATGGAGCTCTGGTGGCCTAGTGGTAAGAAGCTGCGCTGCAATCCCAAAGGCACGTGGTTCAAATCCACCTGCTGCTCCATGGGAGAAGAATGGGCAGTCTCCTCCCGCATGACTGCTGCCTCTGAAAACCCTCTGGGTCTGTTCCAACTCAGCAGCACACAACAACAACAACAACAAATATCTTTAATGCAAACCTTATTTTTTAATTCAAGTGCAAAATATTCCTTTTACATATTTAATAATGCTATGATAATTTCGATTTCACTTATATTACTTACCTAAGTGACAGACTTGTAGCATGCAAAATAAGATACTTTTTAATTCATTAAAGGATTAATTCCATGTCCATTATTAATAAAAAAATTCTATAAATCCCTGATGGTTTGGAATAATGAGTACAATATTATTCTTTTATGTGACAGAACATCAAGGTCCTAGATATTTATGGTAGCCTCTAAAATCTGCTAATGTTTTCTCTTTGTGTTCTCTATGTAGGAATCAGCTCATGTCCTGTTACTCCATAACTGGTATTTAAGGTAGCATTTGAAAGTGGAAGGCACATCAACGTTAATGAGAAAGGTTCAGAGGGAGGAATTCCTTTTTAGGAATCAGTGCCACATCTTTAAGTCTTGTATTACATCTTATTTAGTTCATTTGATAATGTTTTTAACATCACTGAACTTAATATTTTTCTTCTAATTAGACCAATGCTTGGGCAGGCAAAATATCTCAATTTGGATGTAGAAAATTTGCACTCTACCTAAAAAACACTGAAAGATGCCTTCACGATTCTGGAATTCCAGGAGAACTGCCAAAGGGCTTAATGTGGTGACTACAGGACACGGATGCTCTTAGCAGAAGCACAAACCAAACAGGGAGTTCAGAGTTTAGAGAAAACGATCTCACATAGGAAAGCATCATTTGCACTGCTTCTTTAAAGAATGAGTTCTAGAATTTGTGAGTGATCTTACTGATCAGCACACATTAGAGAGTTAATGATTTTTTTATGTTGCACTTGTCCATGGTGAAAGTCATTTACAGTTCTCCTAAGGGTCCTGTGATTGCTTAGTAGCTAACGCTCTTACCTGCTAAATAACAGGTCAGCTGTTTGAACCCTGTAGCCTCTCTACAGGTGAAATAGGTGGCAGTGTGCTCCCATAAAGTTCTGCAGCCCTGGGAACTGCATGAGGCAGTTCTGCTCTGTGCTGTAAGGTCACTGAGTCAGAATCAACAGAAATGGAGTTTTCAACTCCACAGTAATGACAGTAATGGAGTAGGGAGCGTACACACACACACACAAACACACACACCCCATGAATATTTTCTTTCAGAATACTTTTTCTCCCCTACTAAGTATCGTCATAAGAGTGGTTTTCAAAATCACAAATGATTGTTCTAAATCATGCTAGCCATTTAAGTGAAGTCAGGTAAGTCATCAACTTGCTCAGATCTGATAGAGAGAATTCAGTTTAAAATTCAACCCAGATATAAAAAACAACTCAAGAGAAACAACAGTAACAGATGTGGTTATAATTCCATACAGGAAATGCATGTGTAGAATATGTTTGATATGACTGAACTTGAAAATCTCCTTGTGTTTTCTCTAACAAAATGTTTCTCCTCCCCCTTTTTACTCATGTAGTACATTTTTATATAAAACAATTGTGTAATTTATACTGTAGAATGAAGGGGTACAGAGGGAATGCAGTTAGCTGACCATGAAAGTTTAGTACATAAAGTGACAAAAACATCTACCAGTATGCCAGTGGCTTGCAGAGCAGGAGGGTTTGGGAGTATCCAGGATCCCTTCTGTGCCATGCCCAATCTGGAAGCTGGTCAATTCCCTGTTCCTCAAATTCGGCAGCCTATGAATCGCTATTCTGTGAGTAACTTCCAGTTCCACAAAATCTGTCCTCCTCTGTGATGATTCAAACGTACCTTAGTAGCCAGTAGAAAATTATTTCATGTGCTCACCTGTGCTTGGTAAACATTTGATTATATTAATTAATGGATTATATTAATTAATGCACACACACTGCAAGCCAGGTGCTATTACACGGATTTCTTTAGTCAATGGATTTTGAGTGGCAAAATGAGGAAAATTTTTCCCTGTCATTTGAAACTTAATATCCAGAAAGCAGTGAAAATGTACTTATGTGATCTTTAGTCATTCAGTTTGTGGTTATTATGTGTCTTTTCTGTCCAACAGCAGCAGGTGGTGAACCAACTCAGACTCCCAGTGCCTATAAACAGGCAAAGGATAAAGTCTCTGTGAGTAAAACCTAACTTCTTCTTGAACTTTGGATGTTCTTTTCCGTTTAATTTTCATTATGATTTCTGAAATTAACTTGAGATAGAATTTAGACCTTAGATGTTTACTCTTAATATCATTTTATATCTTTCCTACACAGAGAATGATTTTCTATGACATTCAGCCATATGCTAAGATCTTCTGGAATGGCACATGATGTAGTTGCTAAGGGCAGAGTTTAGGTGTTCATGGTTACTTTACCAGTAAGATCAAGAAGACATGAAAAGCAGGGTGTTCTGGCAAAAATTAAGACTCACTTTACTTCTTCTTCACAGCACAGAGTTAACTATTATGATTAACACTAAACTATGTTTTCTAAGACTGGTAAGTGGCTTACCTTTAGATTACATTCATTTGGATAACTAAGAGAACTGAAAAAATTAGTTCTAATTCCCTTGGTTAAAGAAAACTGCAATTACCACTTAAATGTAAACTATTTACACTTTTGTGTTATATATCTGCACATGTTAAATAGCAAAATGGACAAACATACTGTGTAAATGTTATCTAATAATATGATAGCATAAAGTCAACTTTGGTTGTATATCATTTGATGACTATATAATATTTTGTTTCATTTGTTTTCAGAAATGTTTAAAGTTATTTTTATTGATTTTTCAAACTTTTCTTCATATTTTAACAAATTTACTCATAAATCCTTCTAAGCCCATTAATATAACCATGTGCATTGTCTTAGTATTATTACCTCTTAGTGAAATTAGCACTTGTGAAAGACTGTCCATACGTAACGTTTGTTACATGTACAATATTGTCATTCAAAAAGAATCTACTTGTATTTCTTCTAACTGTAATTAGCCCTATATTTGTTTCTATTTTTGCCAAATTATAACTATGAAATCTTGTAGTTATAATTTTGTTTTTGTTCATGCTGTTGTATTTTTCATGTGTAATTCCTTTGTATTTCTTCATTTGTTGGTTTTATTTTTTTTTTGTTTAATCATATCTTAGAGATCATCATCATACTATCAATGTCAAGCATTTTTACTCCTTTATGATTGGCAGGAAAAAAATACATTCTAAAATTAAAACAAATCATTTTAATGATGCTAATCAGTAGTTTGCCATCACATTTAATCTCAGCTGACACATAGGATGAGTAATAGCATGTTTTTGTGTTTAACTTTCAAAAAAACGGATCTGATTTTAGAGTTCCACTTTTATTTATTGAGGAAAAAAGCAGTGATTTATTTCCAATGACGGTCAAATGCTTCATATCATTTTTAATGTAGGGTACTTTACATTGATAAATGAAAACATTTTGTTTTTATTTAAATATTTTAAGGCATATACCTGAATAGATATTATGCAGTGGTACCTATTTATTATTTTAATAGCATTGAGCTTTTTTTTATGTCAATGTGATTTTAAATTTGTGTCTTTGAACCTGTTTCTAATTGATTAGTAGCCAAGTTATTTCCTAACATCTTTAGGTGTATTATCCTTTACTTACTCTGGTTTAGTTTTTCTAAAAGTATGGGAGTTAAAAATTATGGCTCATATTTAATGTGGGAACTTTAACAGTAGTTTTCAACATTATATTATGCCCTTCTAGAATCCAATAATAATTGAATTAAATATAGCAACTACAAAACAATGCCATTTTGCATCAATTAAATGTAATAGTTGTTACTATTATTTTTTGAAAGATTAAGTTCTTCAGGAGCAAATAAGAAAAAATCAAGCCTGCACTTTACCCCTTTAGGAAAAGACATTTATGTGGATATAGTGTTAAAATTCCTTTAGTGTTTGAGTAAATCCATAGGAATCACTTCTCAATGCTTAGAGGGTGATAGGAACCACATACAGTTCTGACACCAAGCTAACCTGTGTAGTCGTCTAGAAGATGGGATCATACACTTATCATTCATTCTTCTTCTCATTTATCATTATCCTTTTTTCCTTCCCGATACTTCATCTTCTTCCTAAATGTTTCCTAAAACCCAAAAATTACTCTTACTTAATTTATCTCTTCGACTTGGTTTGTCCATTTTAATAGTTGTCTCTAATTTTCCAATTAATCTTTATCACAAACCTAGCCTACTCCTCACAATCTTTAACTTCATATATTTAAAAATGATTTCTTTTGCTTTGGTGGTTTTTTGCTTTTTGCTTTGATTAATTTTTTAGCATGGCATTAATAGTTATCTTCTATAATTTGAGGCAGTATGGTAATTTTTTTTCCTCTAAGCCATGCTTCTGATTTTCAGCCTTTCGTGGGTGGGATCAATCAAAAACAGAATGACTTGTGCTGACCCAGTAACACTTCCCACTCATGGTGCTGCGTATCTAAAACAAGAAGTGGTATGTGCGAACTGGGAGTGCTTCTGACTCTGATGAAGCAGATACAGAGGTTACAACTTTAGACAGAAAGCTCACTTTCAACTCATATTTTCGTGACAGCTAAGTTAGATTAGTTATTTGATACTGAAAATTTCCTTGGCTTTCCCCCCCTCCCCACATTTGGCTGTATTTTTGACAGAACAAGCCAGCTAAGCTTTCTTCAAAAGGCCATGCATCCATCCAACTTGACCTGCACTCAGTCCTGTCAGGAATTATCAACAACACCTGTAAAGGAAATCTTGTGGGTTTTACAGGCAATCTACTTGGTGATGTCTTTTATTCTAGAATTTATAATACTTCACACTAGCTGTAGCCAGTGCATAAAAATGTTCATTCTCGAGTCTAGCTTGCCCCCAGATCTGTTTTATTCATTACCCTGACTCATTTTCTATGAACCTTACCGTTCTCTGATGAAAGACAAAGTAGACTGTTTTAAAGTAAGTTTTCTCAAAGTTTTAAAATTGTGTACTGTTAGACCTCAAATACATGTTGTTCTAAAGTCCTATAAATATATGGTTTATGTACATACCTATGAGTTGTGTTTATTAGAGAAAAAAGACTGACAACCTCTTAAGATGTTTTCCAGATACGGCATCTTTAGTGTCATGGATTAATTAGAGGTTTTATTTCTTTTGTTGTTAGGTTCATGTTGTTATATGCCATTGTAAAAGAATTACCCCATCACTGACCCTCTTTATTCAGCCCCTCAGTGAGTTTTCAGAGCCTGTAAAATACACAGGAGGAAAGAAAAAAAAATACGCAGGAGGAGACGGTTCTTTTCAACATAGAGAATCTGGTAGAGTCAAACCATGTACCTTTGAGTTGGCAGCACAAGTCCCCACCACAGGGCCATGAGAGCTCCCTTATTAGGTGCCTAGAAAGCCATTAAAAGTATTTCTCTTTATCGTTATTGTATTTGATAATTACATATTAAATTCTATTAACATTTGTATATGAAAATATATTTAAAATTCATCCATAGCATCATCTTTTTAATCAGAGAAAGAAAAAAAGTTGTTACAGCCTCTGAAAAGCTACTGAACAGTTAGTGTAAGTCAATTCTGACTTGATAACAATGATTAGAAGAAAAAGAGAACTTACATTTTTAATGTGTTTTTGTAAGTGGATCCTCAGAATCACCCTAGCTTATTTCAGAGACAAGAACTTCTTGGAAAATGTGCTAATTTCCTGAGGAATTGAGTAGTGAAGTGATCACCTTAGAGGCTGAGAGGTGGACTCTTGGCTTTTTCTGACTCCATCCCAAATTCTGCCTTGAATTTTATTCAGCACTATCTTACTTCCTTCCAGAAAGGGTCTCTCCTACCCCTTTCTAAAGTACATTATGGCATTATGACCTTCAGTCAATGTCTGTTTTCTGAATACAGTCAGAAGCAAAGATCCTTACTTCAACTATCCATGTGGTCTCGGAATTTCCCAGAGCTAATCCTAACTCTTTCTTACCTAAAAAATATTACTCACTCTTCCTTCCACCCATTCATCTATTCCATTTATCCATCTTTCCATTCACTTACCGCCTACTCATTGCCCCCCTGGGTACCAAGTATAGTAAAATCACAATGTTTAGAAGTGACAGAGATCCAATCACCTGGAAACTTGATCTAGAACTGCTTAAGAAAAGGTCAAATGATTCAGCATTAGTTTATTTTTATGTATGCAGACATTTAAATTTGTGTATAATTAAATTAGTTCTATTTTAAAAGATGCAATCAATGATATCTTGCTCTAACATAAATATGTATTTCTATCATATTTATAACCATTAACCATGTGTTCATAGTAAAGTTAAGCATCTATTTTCGTACATGTTTGTGTTTCTTTTTCTTTTCTTTTTACTTCATAGTTTGGTTTATTTTGTGTTTTTGTTTGTTTTCTTTCATGGCTAGAATTCTACCTTGTCAAAGATTCCTGCCCTACAGGGCAACATAAAGTCCCCAAGATGCAGCTCAGCCTGTCCTAACACGACTAAAAGGGCTACATTTTCTGACAGTTTGTTAATACAGCCCAACTCAGCGGGCTCCACAGACCGTTTGCCATACTCAGAATCAGGGGAAAAGGTAAGGCAGCAGGCCAACAGAAGGAGCAGACAGGAATATAGTTTGGGAGAGGATTCTAAAATGAGGTCCCAGAAATGTGTAAAAACATAGATTTAAAAGTTCTAAAGTACATGAGACATAATATAATTTAGGAGAGGATTATAAATGAAGCCCAAGAAATATGTGAAAACATAGATTTAAAGTTCTAAGGTACATGAGAGACGTAAACAATAGACCTTGTCAGAAATATGTGCAAGTTAAAAGTTTCAGAAGTTACTTAAAAATCTCACCAGTAAGAAAATATGTCTCTGTATTTCTGATACCCAAAATTAATCGACTATTCTATGATTTTGTGACATTTGAAATAAAAATGAATAGAATTAAAGATATTTAGTATAGCTTATATACTATGTCATTATAAATAGTCATGACTAATTATTATAAAACTAGTCTAAGTTATGAAGTAGAATTACTTGTAAGTATATAAAAATTTATTTTCAATAAATTCGAGTCTGTCCTAACTGGAGGTGGGGAGAGAATCAGAGCAGTGCAGTCACTTCATGTGATTATGAAGATTCAACATGCAAAATGCAGTGTTGTCTGTTCCCTGGATCAGGATGGCGTAACCAGGAGCCCGGAGAAGCGCTCTTCTTTGCCACGACCCTCGTCCATTCTCCCTCCTCGCCGAGGCGTATCTGGAGACAGAGATGAGAATTCCTTCTCGCTCAACAGTTCCATCTCCTCTTCGGCACGACGGACCACCAGTAAGTTTCTTTTGGTTTATCTTCTCTGATTAGCATTTTTTTAAGCCCTTAAGTGATATTGGACATATTTTGTTTTTCTCTTTTTTTCTGTCAGTTAGATAAAATATTACTTAAAAATATAACATATTTGTCCTTGTATCGTTAGATGTGGTGGGAGTGTTACCACAAAGTGACTCCATGTTAAGCTGAATAAAACTCCTAGATCCTCCACCAGCCCTCCCTACAATCTCCGTGGTGCTTAAGCCCTTTGTTGCACTCAATCCGGATCTTCCAGGGTCTTCTCCCTTTTGCTGACTGGTGGTCTAGGAAGTAGAGAGTTGCACTGCGACCCCAAAGGCAGGTCGTTTGCCTCCACCAGCAGCTCCTTGGGACAAAGTCGGGCAGTCTCCTCTGTGATTTACAGCTTCTGAAAACCCAGGACAGGATCAGCTATGAGTTGATTCCCACTCGACAGCAATGAGTTTGAGTTCTACTCTTCCAAGGATGACATCTCACCCTCCTTTGTCCTCAGAATCAGGAAAACTAGACTACAGATGAGTCCAAATTACCTAGCAATTTCAGGCAAAAATCTATTGATGGAGTAAAAGGGGAACTATGACCCTTTAATTTATTACATTGTTAGCTGCTGTCAAGCCAACTGTCGACATAGGGCAGCCTCCTGCACAGCATAATGAAGTGAATGGATCATGGCTATCTTCTGGGTTCTCGTTGGCTGGTTTTCTGAAGTAGATTGTCAGACCTTTCTTCCTATTTTGTCTTAGTCTGGAAACTGCTTGAAGTCCATTTACCAGGAACTGGGGAGCATTCTACCCAAGAACCACTTCTGTCTTTATTCATTCAATGAGACAAAGTAATGCTCAGAATATAGTTGGGTTTTTTCCTTACTTAAAAATTTGAAGCAAAAAAATAAAATCTATAGAAACTTCCAAAATATGCATAAATAAAAAGCTCTTTCTTGAATTCTCAAGTTCTGAAATCACATTGGAGTGTCAGCAATCAAAATCCAGGATCCTATGAGTTTGTTGAGTCTACATTCTTAATAAGGTTGCAAATGTAGCAGAACTGTTTACTTGGAGAATGAGAAACAATACCATTTATCTAGAGAGCAGCAGGGAACTTGATTATCATAAATGAATGAAGTATTATATGAGTGTTGTATAAAATCATTCTAACAGCTAAATAGCCTACAGGATCAGTATTTCTGCTGAAGAGTTCTGTCGGAGTTTCAATTCCTTATGACTGTGGAACATTTGCGTTTCCATGAAAATACTGCATTTTAGTAGAGTGTGTGATTGTGCTTTCATTTTTCCCCTGAAGGTTAAAACTCTTTTCCCATTTGACAGTAAGTGGCAATCTGGTCAAATTCACATGTCACTAGAGAAATGTTTCAAATGCATGAACATGAAAAACACTGGCCATTTCTAAAGTCTATAATGAAATATTCTGTTTGATGCTTCAGCCTGTATGAGAGAGGAGGTGTTGAACCAGATCTTATCCTTTGTGAATCTGATGACTGATTTCCTCAAGGCTTCTGTCAGATCTTTCTCTTGAGAAACAGAATGATTTATTAAAACTCGAAAAGTTTTTGTGCCCAATTTTTTTTACAACTCTTTCTTTTTTTTATGCCTTACCCTTTTTTTTTTAAATGTCAGTGACTTCAATCATACCATATGATCATTAATCACTATAGAAGGCAGGAGTTTGCTTGGAAATTAGCCACCTGAACAAACCAAAAAAATCTCAAAAGATTTCTGATAAATAGTTCATTAAAAAACATATATAATTATTGAACACGTACTCTACTTAAGTCCCAAGATAAAACACTAATGAAAGTTAACCGTGGCAAATAATACAAAGAAAACCCTCCATTCAGAAAATTATTTTCTTGGAGAAAACATTTGAAGACCAAACTAGATTATTGGGAGATATTTCTTCAGAAGAGCACACAAGGGGGAAAAAATATTGTCTATTTGCAAACCAAGGGCAGGGAAATTGGGTGGGGAACAGGGTGCAGGAAAGCCAAGTTGGATACAGTGGTATCATCTTAGTCTTGACATGACATTTTTGGGGAAATCAATTACTATTTTTATTGTAGAACAGTAATTTATCCAATTTCTTATTATCTATCAATTGTTGTTGTTGTTAAAAGCATCAAGTCAAGCATGAGTCAGAGTGACCCTATGAACAAAAGACCTGGACTTTTTTCTATAACTACTGTAATTTCTCTAAGTTCATAGAGTTTCCAAAGGCATGTTGTTTGGGAAGTGGATGCTGCTCTTGCTTCCAACCAATACAAAACAAATTTTTACCATTTCATACTATCAGTTGAAGAGTCTAGGCTTAGAATCTGTTTGTTCTCTGTCAAAAGATCAAACAGACTTAGAACAATTTTGTTTTAATAAATAAAAATGTCCGCTCAAAGAGAAAGAAAATGGTCTATGTTTCTCCAGGAACTTACATTATCTGTGGACTGTTACTATGTAAGAAGCTTTCTTTTATAAATTACGTATACCACATTGAAACTGATGAGGGAGAGAACTGTTTAAAAGGAATATGTGATTAAGTATTATTGTCATGACAGGAGCCCAGAACGAAGGCTGCATAGTGGAATGGACTTGGGGGAAGGGATTGTATACCAATCAAAGAATTTTTCTTTTACTTTTCAAAGAGAAAAGCGAACTAGGGAGGGAAAGGTGGGAAGGGAAAAAAGTACAACAATTAATGAATGGAAGTCCAAAGTCTGTAAACATTCATTAAAATTATTCATAATAATAATAAACCACAAAAAAGTGAACTGGGGAGGGGAAAGTGAGGGAGGAAGAGGAGGTAAGAATGTGCAACAATGAATAAATGAAAATCTAACTTTTCTATAAAATTTTGTTAAAAGCACAATTAAAATTAAAAATATTATTTTTAAAAAGCGTTCTTTCTTTTTATTTCAATTCATTCATTGTTGCACTTTTCTCCTTGCCCACCCCTGCCCCTCAGTTCACTCTCTTTGAAAAGCAAAATTCTTTCTTGAGCTCTTTCTTCTTGTAACTATTTAAGCAAAGACTACATGTCCACTTCTCATGAAAAACTACTTGATCCAGTGAAAAACTGCATAAACTGTTCTTTCTCATTTCTTCAGATCCCTGGTGGCATAATGGTTAAGCATTCAGCTGCCACCTGAGAACCCGGCAGTTCTAGCCCACCCAACTCCCATAAAGATTACAGCCGACAAAACTCAATGAAGCAGTTCTTCTTTCTCACCAGGGTCTACTAGGAGTAGAAATTTACTGGATGGCATCTAACAACAGCATCCCTTGTACCTTTTTGATTGTAAAATTAATAAGTTATGTCTTTTTCCTCTGTGGAATTTAAGTCATTGACTTTACAAAAGGTACCTAAAATAGAAAATAAAAAATATAGCCTTTCCTTAAAATATATGAAACCATTTATATGGTAAAGCAAAACAATGTAAAAAATGGTTTTCTGTCATTAGAGGCAATGCGTTATTTTAAGAGAAAGGTTTTTTAGGGCTATGATAAGGTTAAAAAAATATCGAGCAACAAATTACAGATAGAATTTTAAAAAGAATGTAAATTCTCAAAAGCCAAGTGTCATATCTCACTTAGAAATTTAGCTATCACTTAGCTGAAGTAGCTTTGGTATATTTATTAGGAATAATAATAACTATCCTTAACTGCCGTGTGTGCTTTCTTGGTTACAAGTGAAGATGTATCCATAAAAAGTGCTTTGACATCATCAAGTCTGATACTCAATAATACAAGTTTTATACATGTTAATGTTTTATGCATTTGCATTTCTATTAAAAGTGCTTGTATTAAAAAAAGCTAATACTAGAAATATAGAATGTTGGGGAGTACAATAATAAAATATGATATTAAAGTCATGTTGAGACAAGCCCATCTATCTCAGAGTACCTTACATAATTGGCAGTGATAAAGCATTGATTTTACTACAAATTGATGAAAGTAATGATAAATGAGAGGAAAAAAGCACAATCAGGTACAGGATTAATCATGCATACATTGTTATAAAGTTTTAACTTCTCAAAGAAGATATTATTTTTGTATATCTTTAAAGCTAATGGAGTTTGCCTTATAAAGAACGCAGTGTAGGATAGAGTAGAACATTATGTGATATAATAAGAAAACTTTTAATAGTCACCTCACAGAGTTCTTCAAGAGACAATAATAGTGAAACCCAATTTAGTAAATATTGTTCCACATAGGAAAAAGCTGTTTGATTTAAATACCTAGCTCTGTTGAGTCCACCTGAATCTCTGAATAATTTTGCTGCATAGAGCAATTGATAGCCCATGTTTCATTCACTGTAGACTCTTCTTTCAGCTAAAGACAGATCCCTATGCCTTAATGATCACACCAGCAGAAAATAGGTTTTTTACCCACTCCTGAATATAAAAGAGTATAGCCTGGTTGAATCCTCGTTTTGATAACACCACCATTTCAAAAGAACCAGATTATAAAAGAAAAGAGATTTTTACCTTTTTGAGGCTGCTAGAACTCACAAATATTTTTAATGCTTTTGGAATGAAATGCATTGTGTTCCAATAAGCTATAGAAGAGGGCTGCCTTGAGGGAAGCATTCTAATACTCTGCATTTTGTCTTGCTTGCCTGTTAATACAGGGTCAGAGCCAATTCGCAGGGCAGGAAAAAGTGGCACCTCGACACCCACTACCCCTGGATCCACCGCCATCACTCCTGGCACACCACCCAGCTATTCCTCACGCACACCAGGCACGCCTGGAACCCCTAGCTACCCCAGGACCCCACACACACCAGGAACCCCCAAATCTGGCATCTTGGTGCCCAGTGAGAAGAAAGTTGCTATCATACGTACTCCTCCAAAATCTCCTGCCACTCCGAAGCAGCTCCGACTTATTAACCAGCCATTGCCAGACCTGAAGAATGTCAAGTCCAAAATCGGATCAACTGACAACATCAAATACCAGCCCAAAGGTGGGCAGGTAAGGATTACTTCAACATATATTTGTTGCCATAACCAAAATCCTATTAAGGTGTCTGCATGTTTGTTTGGATTTTTTTTAACGTCTTCATATTATTAGAGTTCTTAAAAGAAAGGGAAAGATAGTGGTGGTAGTGTTGTCGATGATCGCTTTACCAAGAGTTTGAACCTTATCTGACTAAAAAGTATGATGAAATCATATATGCCCTGTCCTTCTGGTTACTGTTTGATAAAAAGCTAATTTAACCATATGAGATAATTATTTAGTCAATTAATTCTAGGAGATCTTCTTTAGATGCACCTATATTATTTTGTGGATTTTATTTAAAATGTTAAGATTACATCTGGCATTAATTTTCTCATTCCATTTTAAATCCTGTCCAAACACATTTGACTACTTTTAGTATTTTTGTTACCTATTTTTATTAATGCCTTTCATTCTCATTTATATTCTATAACATATTTTTCCATTGCCCCATGTTCAGTCCAAAATCAAGTTGCTTCTATAGTACTGTATAAACAGAGTAAGTAGTATTCATGCTGATAATAAGTTACTTCTTCTTGTTGTTGTTGTTGTTTGTTGTTGTTAAGTGTCGTTGAGTCTTAGGTGACTCATAGCAACCCTATGAAGGAGAGTCCTTGACACTTGGGTGTCTTTCATCCTATCTCCAGGTTCATAGGGTTTCCAAAGGCAAACTATTATGGAAGTGGATGCCACTCCTCCTTCCAAGCTTGTTTTAATCAGGGAGCTCTACCCCACTCTCTGTCTGCATTGGGTAGCCAACAATTAATACATTTGACACATCATTGTCACAGTGTTCAGCCTCACAGCAACCACAAGTGGCTGCAGTATGGCAACTTGTACACCAGGGCTATACGACCTAGAGGAATGTTTGAACAAAAACAATGAAAGACAGACCTGAGGGCCATGGATTAAAAGTCACCCACCTTTGGGTTGGTAGCATCACTTTCTGTCCACTGGGCCAGCTGATCTCTCTTGATAGAGTCTTATAATTTCTATTTAAGATTAATTTTCTAGAATGGGCTTATTTTTAAAACTCTTGTCTATTAACTCTTAACTTCAGATCAGGGCAGACATTTACATGTACTTCAACCAGGGGACTTTGAGCTCTACTTTGACCTGGTGACTTGGATTTTATTTACACACAGGAGGCTGAGACAAAGCAATTTGCTTGGAAGGCAATAATACAAATAACAGTCATTACTTGCCTTCTGATACAGAGCTACCCATGGGATTACTCAACTCTTATTGTCAGTGAAGAAAGAGAAGAACACACTCATCCTTAAAAGAAAGAAGAGAGAAGTAAATGAATTTATACATAAACACACTTATAATGTCCTTTCATTACCCAAAAAAATCCTTTCCTTTTTATTCTTGACATTCTTTACTGTATCTTATCTTTTCCACCACACATTTTCTATACTCCCTCTTAGTTATCTAGTGCTACTAAAATAAAAATAACACAACTGGATGGGTTTGATAAACAAATGAAAAAAGTATTTCCTCACAATTTAGGAAGCTTTCAGAGTGAACTCTAGACATCAGGTCTGGGGAAAGGCTCTCTCCTTCTGACAGCTCTCGGGATAAGTTCTTGTATCCTCTCCATGTGTGTATACTCAACATTCCTTGAAATCGCCATGTCTCTTGGCATCACTCTTCCCCTGGAACGTCTCAGTGCAGAAACTCCAAGACAAATTATTATAGGAGAGCTTTTTTAGAGATCTTCAAGAAAGTCTGTCAAAGACTTTCATTATCTGGTTGAAAGTCTTTTTAGAACACTGAAACCTAATTATGCTGTTCCAAATTGTACAATTGAGAAAGGACTCTTAGATTGACAGTGACCAAGTCAGAATCTTTAAAGGACAATACAATGCTACATTTGCTCTGTAAGCAGACGTTGAGAAAAATAGTAATGCTATTCTTATTAATGAAACTAAGAATGAATTTGAAGATTAAATATTAATTTTCTGCCTAGATTCTATTGTTGTAAAATGTGTGAAGGGTTAGGTGTTATATAAAAGGTTGACTTTTTGTTTTTATTTTTTATTTAATTCTTTTTCAATTACATTATTTATGATTTTATTATTATTTATTTTATTTCTTTGTTATATTATTTCATTCTTGTGTTAAAAGTTTGTGCCATGTAAGAAATAGGAGTGGAAATATATAATAAAAGCTATATGTATCTTGAGACCTTGAACTTTATTATTTTCCCTCAAGTTAAGAATTTATATCTGTTCTGTATATTTATATATAGTCTTTATATTATCTCTTCTATTAAAGTCCAGTTTTCTATTGGCAGAAAAATAGCAGCTTGATGGCTTAGTTCAGCGAAGCAAATCAATGCCTAATGGAATAGATAAGCTAGCTGAAGATACGAGGAGTTTTATAGAAAGTAATACAATTAATCTTTTCAGCTGAACTATAAATCCATTATTCTGGAAAGAAAATATCCATCTGTGGATTCACTATAGATAGAATGAACATGGTTCATTTTATTGGAAACATAGGTATGGTTATGTCTACATAGTTAGCTTCCAATCTACATGAGATCCAAATTTTAGAATAAATAACGCTAAATTTACAAGGGCACACCTATTAGGTTTAAGAAGAGGTGAGAAAATGTCTCTGAACTAGAGAAATTTTTTTTAAAAAGTTGAGGCAGTCTTACACATGATTAAAAAATTAAAAAAAAAACACCTTTACATATCTATCGTGTTTTTCATAGGGACTCTCTGATTTATGTGGACTACACTGACATATTTTGACAAAAGTTGGTTTCCCATGTATTCTCACAATTTACATTAGGAATGCCAGTTTAAATTTTTTTTAAAAAATCACAATTTCCATGTCCTTTTGATAGCTGAAAGGCAGTTTTATAGATGTGGTTTCTTTTTCTCACTAGGGAGGCAACTTTATAGATGTGGTTTCTTTTTGCAACTTTTTCAGTCAGGTGATTATCTTATGACCTTGACAAGGTCATGCTTATGGATTTGACTGATCACAGGAGTAATGTACCTTTGTTTTCATTAATGGTCACAAGTTGGCCATTTTCAGGTCAGTTGGGCTAGAGATTCTGGCATCTTCAAAAAAGTCATTTCTTTCTCAAGGAATAGTCAATTGTGTGTAAAGAAACTCATAAAATTTTGTCAGCCTATCCCTCTCTAAGGGAGCTCTGGTGGCCTAGTGGCAAGAAGCTGCACTGCAATCGTGAAGATGATGGTTCAAGGCCACCAACTGTTCCACAGGAGAAGGACTGGCAATCTCATGCTATTAGCTGCCACTGAAAACCCACCAGAAGGTCAACTATGGGTCGTTTCAGACTCTATTATACACAACAATGTACCTTTCTCAGTCATTGTTGTTCTAGGGGGGTGGGCAGGGAGAAGGGTGCAACAATGAATGAATGGAATTCCAAAATCTCTGTAGATGTTCATTGAAATGAAAAATAAATAAATTAAAATAAAATTTTAAAAAGCAGATACATTTGAACAAGAATATATGAATATCCGGGAAAACAACAAATAGAACAGTCTAGTTTCTATTGCCTAGTTCCAAAAGGATCCAGAGAAGTAAGAAATATTCATGGCCAGATATATTGGATACCAAGTTCCAGGAGTCCCACCTCACTCACATCTTGCATGTAGGACTTCTAATAGCATCTCTTGATAACACAGCTACTAAGTCAGCTCCTAACAGTTGTATTTAATTAAGACTTAATCATCTGGATACACATTATCTAATTCTATTTTAGTCTTTAACTGTGACAGAACAATCTGAAAATGATCACTTCCTTTAATAATGACTTTCATAACAAGATTTTATTACAATATGATTAAAATTCGACACAACTTTCACAGTATCATAGAAAACAATTTAATACAAATATCTGCCATATATGAATCCTCTTTGTGAAAATTTACACCACTAAATTTAGAAACTCAAACAATAATTGTTTTTCTCATACTTTTATTAATAATGACTTATTAATTTTAAATACAGTTGTGACTTTTTAAAATAAGCAGCACACTTTCTTGTATTTCCTTGGTAATTTTTAAAAGTAGGAAATTTCTAGAATTAAGGAGGTGGTAAATCTGAAGTAAGAAACTCAAGTCATGGAAGAGGCTTTGTATATTTTAGTTGGAAACTGTGATGTTGAGAGGGGGGAGGCAAGAAAGGCCTGAGAACATGGGATTTTAATTAAGATTCAAAAGACATGAAAAAGCAACCCCTGTGGATAACTGGAGAAAGAAGATTCCAGACCTAAGAAAACACAAAATCCAAGACATGAAGGTGGGAGCATGCCTGATACGTTTGAGAAATAGCAAGATGTAACAGCTTTGAGCACAGAAATTTCACATTGAATTATGGCTTTTAATAATTAAATTCTTGTTTTCATCATCACTACAACTATTGAAATAACAGGAATTTCATGATGACAAGTCAAAAGTGTCAAGATCTACTCCTTTTCCTTTCATCTTCTCTCAAGGCCATCTTTAAATACCTGACTGACTCAGAGGGAAGCCATGAATGTCAGATCTGAACCTTGACCTATCCCGTGCCATCATCATCATCTCTGATATACTTGAGGTCATTGAAACAATCACTGTCTGGATCCATTTTGTTGAGTGTCTTCCTCACCTTTGCTGACCTTGAACCTTTCCAAGCAAGATGTCTTTTTCCAAAGATTAGCCTCACCTCACAACATGCTCGGAGTGGGTGATACGAAATTTCACCACCCTTCCCTCTAAAAGAACACTCTGGCTGCACTCTTTCCACGATGTATTTGTCTGGTTTGGGGCAGTCCATGAGCTATTCAGAACTCTTCTTCCACACCATAACTCAAAGACATCACTACTTCTTCTTTTTCCTTTAATCATTGTCCAAGTTTCAGATGCATAGCAAGGAACTGAAAAGACTGTGGCTTGGACCACATGCACCTTGGTCTTTAAAGTGACATCATTGCTCTTAAGTACTTT